TGCTAACCAAGAAGGGGGGGGTGAATTTGTATTTTAAAATATTCTTTCATTTAAAACTAAACAAAATCACAATTCACACAGAAGAAATAAGAATCGAAAATTAATTCGAAAAAATAGTAGTAAGGAAATACAGAGCATTGCTATAGTGGTGATCGTCAACTCGACCATGTTCCACTCCTGGACACCCTTCGGGTATTGCACTAACTGAGTGGACTCTCCTTTTGCTTCCACAGCAAGCAGATTAAGCTTTAAGTAAAACCTCCCTTCATTCCTTCGACACCCGTCGAGGCTGAAACCCGACTCCTTGCTTCCTCCTGAAGTAGGTAAGACCTGATTGATTGCTGAAGTAGACCTTCCCTGTGAACCCCCAAGACAGAAGGATGATGATCGAAGAAGACGACTTGAGAATCTTTGCTTGGAGCAACTTTGTACCCTCTCACAAAACTCTCCCTCCATAATGTTCTCTCTCTCTCCATCTCTCCCTCTCTCTCCCTTCCTCTAGGCTTTTAGTCAAGACAACACGCAAAGATATCCTTCATGGGTGATATATGAGAGCTTATTAGAAAGAGCTTCAGAAATAGACTCATTAATTGCAACGTGCCCACTTATTATCTTAGGTGATATTAATATCTGATCCTATATGATTAGTGCAAATTAAGCTTTATAAAGCCTGACAATTTGGACGAACAGAAGCTTTTTACTTCATATCTATCCAGATACGATTAAATGTAATCACTGGTACATTATTAAATCACAGCATTCAGTTTAGACATCACTCTGAATGACATGCTAAACGATTGAAAATGCTAATCGTCTCAACGATTAGCATAAATCCTTGAAAAATTGTCCAGAATATCACCTGAATAGACGCTGTCCGATTATTTATCATTCAGAACAACTAAGTTTTTGAATTGATCATCCTGTTAAGATCCTGTATCATTCACATGATTTGATCATATTCAATCAGCCTTAATTGCTTCCTTAATACTACCAGTTAATCTTAGGCATAATGTGTATCATCCGGGACGATCCTACGACGATTCCACAACTTACAAAATACCTAAATAGATTGATGGCTGATTCTTTCTAGATATTGAGCATATCAGCCCAGACATATAAACTATCTAGAGGATGTGCTTCAATGACGGCTGCCTTAACAAAGGATACCCATAATTCAGCTTTTGATTTTATCTGAGTTCGGCCAGGATTGTTATTGAATTCCTGAAATGATGTAACTAATATAGAGAACTCTAGTGTAGATAGAAAAACCACCAGATAGTGTATGTGCAAGTTACTTAGCATCAAGAAAACCAAATATTACAAATAGCACAAGAAGATGAAAAGGTTTTATAAACTGATAGACCTGTTCTACCAATCTTAGCGGTTCAAAAATATAGTCTTGTCCTATGGACTTGAAATGTAGTAGCAAGGCAGTCATAGATAAATAGAAAGCTGTTCTTCAACAATCAATCTATATTCTGAAAACAGATACGCAACAATTCTTTATAATTGGATATACTTCGTTTTATTGATCATGCCTAACACGTGTTTACATTTAATTATGTAAAGTTTAGCATATACTTTGTGATCATTATGGATGGATGTGTTATATGGGTAATTGATAAAGTGCAACTACATTCTTATAACAAATCCAACTTTCTGTGATATATTTCTCTTTTAATTTATAATTCATCTACCTTGGACATCTGAAAGGTTATTTTGGTCCCCACTCACTTTTAGTTTAGGTCTGAGAGGTTCAGTGACGATATGAAGTGCAAGTGGAGTTATAAGGGATTGAGCATAGATCTATTTCACCGAGGAGGTTGATAGTCGGAGCTGAAAGTGAACAGCTTAGATTAAGAAACATCGAGATTTGCATACATAATGAATAATTGACATATACTATATTAAATGAAAATAAATTATTAAAGGACATTTTCAAAAATAGAATAGTTTAACTACCAAAGATGTTTTAAAATAGTTACTCATTCATTCCTAATGTGTGTACATGATGCTTCATGACATGTGATGAAACATTATACTATGTTTGCTTCTAGAACCAATTCTATACTTTAAATATCCATGTGAAAGTGTAACAAAGTATACGTCTGACGAAAAGTCAAATTCTTATATGTTTCAAGAAAAGTAACATTATATTTTATGTTTTACTGAATTAACTATTTAAACCTTTCTAATTATAAAGTTAAGAATATGGTATTGAAACATCACTACAGGAAAATCACTCATTCACCGCGGTTTATTCCGACAAATTCTCTAACTTGTTTTCAAGCGGCTGCTAGGAAACACCGGCGGCTTTTTGGATGGTTTCGAAACACTGACGAAAAATTAATGCGTCGAAACATTTCTGTCGTTGTTTTTATCTGGGTTTTTTTTCCCAGGTGATAATGCCGCTCGGTAAGGTTCCAGTTGCTAGCGCGCAATGACCGCTCAAATCAGCGGGGTATCGGAACGTTCAGCCGCCGGTTAAAAATCTCGATTATTACAGTGGGATTCTGGATAAACCCTGGTTAAACATCGGTTGGCTTACCTTCAGTGAAAAACAAAGAATTCCGGCGCTTGAGACGCTAGCATATCACCGGTGTAACCCCAGACACCGCGATATTACCAACTATTTTAGGTCGTTTACCGGTGGCTTTAGTTAGCCGTCTGTATCGAAGTTTTCAGCGGCCAAACGCCAGGTTGGCCACCGAAAACTTGCCGACGGGCGGCCGACGGGCAAAAGAGTGACGACTCTTCTTGATAGAACCAACGTATAGACATCTACAACAGCAATACGGATTCTACAACAGCAACATAGCCAGCGTTTGTGCTTGTCTAGTAAGTAAGACCATTGAATGATATGCATCGATTTATTGATTTTCCGATTGATTTTACCGACTTGATACTAGAGATTTGCTTTGATACGATAGATTGGTTCGATACGATTGATTTGATTGATCGACGGATTCTCTTGAGATTTCACGTACTGATTGATTGAGCTGGATTTATCGTTTTGCCTGCTGTTGCATTGACTGGTTTCATTGACTATGGATTTCCACATTGCATAGACTCATTGACCATTGACTGATGATTTGATTGATTGACATGCATATTGATAGCATCGCCGTGCTTTGATTTCAGTTATAGGTTTAGGTGACCTGCTGGGCTTTGTAAAGCTCATTATATGTGGTTGATATTTTCAGGTCAGGGCAAGAGAGCAGAAGATAGGAATTGATCCGGATCTTCAGGTTTTTGTCTTTTGATTGATTTTGATTCTTTTGTACTCAGGATAGATTTCAGTACTGGTGATTGTAGTGTAGTTCCTGAGTATTGTACATGACCTTTTGAGATATGAATCGACTTGTATATTGATGTTTTAAATTTTATAGATGTTTGATAGACTGTTTAATTGAAGGTTTTAGATAACTCTGGTAAATTGTTTGAGTAATAGATTGACATTCTTTCCAAGTTAGATCTTGGGGCGTGACATGAAAGTCCAAACATATTCATGCAATATTTATGATTAATTTAAATTATGATTTTACTTCTATGTTCAAATGATTGATTATGCAAAGTTTATGTCACATTTTATGACATTATATGATAAAGTGCATCAGTTATAGAAATGAAATGAAATGAAATGAAATGATATGATATGATATGAATGTTATATTGAATGCTTGTATGCGCATGCTGAAATGATGGAGCTCACCCCATGATGGTACTAGCTGGGAACGTTATACTCGTGCATGTTGATATGGTAAGGATATGAAAAAGAAAAATGTTAAAGGAGTACCTTTATGGTACTAGACGGTGGCTCCTGTGACGATTGTAATATAAACGAAAAGAGAAAGTTATGAAAAATGATATGGATATGAAAAATGAATTATGAAAGGATATAAATGTATGAATTCATGTATATGTTAATGGTATGTTATTAAGAAATGAATTCGTTATGCTTTTAAAAAAAAATTGGCATCTAGCATTTTGTTCATTTTGCCTTGATTACTGTAGTTTAGAATTGTGTTTTACTTAATGAGTTTCGGCTTAATTTTAGTTGTTCAAATTTTTCAGGTAAGTTTAAGTAAATAAAAAATGAGTAGAAAGGGTGGCAATGTTTATCGTAGAAGAGGAGCGCCTAAGGAAAGATAATTCTATAGTTATGCCTGCTTTTATGTTTATGTGATTTTCAATTTGATATTTTAGATGCTCATTCAAATGTTAAGGTGATAGTTTTAGGAATTAGATATTTTACCTACGATCCGACCTCCGTTACCGCCTCGCCTACGCGAGCTCACCGAGCCGGATCGTGACACCTACAGCTCCCACCGTCATTCAGCTCGGACGAAGTTTATACGTAGGTCAAACTCCGTCCGAGCTCCCATCCACCACCTGTGCCGACCAAGCAACCACCATTTACTTTCTGTTAGACCTTAAATAAATCTCCAATCATTTTTATGAAATTTTTTAACTGAAGGTTTAAATTGCATTAACTCATATTTATGTTATCAAATCCTATTATGATAAATTAAGCACGAAAATGAAGTTTGGTTTTCTATCTGTTGAATTCGATATTGTGTATTCATTATGTTGAGAATGGGTTTATCATTATTAGTAGTTTTAATCTACCACGTTAAACAAAGCCTGTTAGAGTTATTCTTACTTGTAGAATTCAGGCTAATTAAAAGTACACCTCACAAAAATTATGTCTATTAATGTTTAACATGGTATATATATATATATATATATATATATATATATATATATAACTGAAAAGGTTTTGATCAAATCCATCTCTTCATTATTCTCTATCTACTAAAATTCCTACAACCAACCCCTCTAAATCTCTCTAAACATCTTTCAAATCACCTCCAAATCTGTTTACAAAAAAAAAAAAAAAAAAAAAAAAAAAAAAAAAAAAATTGAAACACTCTCTTTCTCATTTTCTCTATAGCAAGAGAGCTGAAAACACCTCTCTCTAAAAAAAGCATGCTAAATTAAAAAAAAAAATTCAACAAGTTATTTTCATAAAAAAAATATATGTGCATAACAACATATTCACTTTCTTGCAAATTTAATCACTTCACTGCCAGCTCGCCAATTCTACGGACACAGGTATAACAATGCTAAGCCTTAAAATCTCTAAAACACTTAGTGATACGATCGACGCAGTGAGAGAACTACCAGGCACACCCCTTCGAGCACATCAGGAACAGCCTCATAGATGGCATTCACAACATTGCGAGTGGATCATGCTTTCCATGCATTCATCGTGGTGAGTACTCACATGCCATACCTTTTGGGCGTGGTGGGAAGAAGCTTGTCAGCCATGTTTGTGGTGGAAAGGGTAGACTCATAAGTGACATACACGTCACTGCGAGGTGAGGCACTTGCCGTCCATTTGGGCGTAGTGTTGAATTTCGACAATGGTGAGTATTACGTGAGTGCTTTTAGCTAACACAATTTTGCTATGCATGTACCCAATCACGCCTGGAAGGGCGTGGTAGGATATAACGATTGACGGCGAGATGCTGTCGATTTTTTTAGTAAAATTTGGGAGTTAAAAATTTTTTGCAGGGAACATAATTCAATTAAAACAGGGAACCGAAAACTTATAAAACCTAAATGATTTAAGAAAATTACAATATAAAATAAAATGCTTAAAAATTAAATGCAAGCAAAAAAAAATTATAATGAAAGCAACTGGGAATAAAACTTACAATACAGGGAACATAATTGGTAAATTTACCCAAAACATTAGCAAACCCTCCAAAAACATTAAGGGATCTATCACATAACTTGCAAGAGACTCCAAGCTCTCACTAAAACCCAAGCCTTGCAAGTGAAATGAATCCCCTATCCCTCAAACTTATAGAGGAAAAGGCCTTAAAGGGTCCACAAAATTAATGATATATATATATATATATATATATATACTTAACTGTACGACATGTTTAAAACATGATGTGCTCGTGTAGATAACCTCTTATACTCATACCTACTCCCAATGTTTGTTCGAAACACTATTAATAGCCATCTGAGCAACAATATTTTCTTGAAAGCGACCAAAAGGCGAAGGAAAAAATTCATCAAAAAAATGTATAATATCAAATTGAAAAAGTCAAATTCGCATGATTGTCACTTGTAAGAATTTTGCAAAATGGCATTCAAATCCTATTATGTCTTGAAATTTAAACAAGAATTCCCATATTTTCGTAAAATTGTCTTCCATGTCACCGAATTCACAACCCCATTTGTATTAGCATATAAAAGGCGATACCCCGAAACTCTTAAAATTCTTAAATTTATAAAATATGAAAGCAAAAGAAAAAAAAAACAAAAAAAATAGAATTCACATAATCTATACTAACATGAATTGTACAAAGCAAAGATATAATTTTAATACAAAATGCTTAGAAATTCGTGGATAAAGGTCTAAGGCTACCAAAATGATAAAATCTAGATATGTTTAAGATGTGCATGCATTCTGAGGCAGTATCAATCTCATCAAATTTGCCTAAACAAACATGCATATGTAATTAGTGCATCGTATGTTATATGCAAATCTCATATATATATATATATATATATATATATATATATATATATATATATACTAAAGGTAATGCAAATGTAAAATGCAATGATGTTCAAAATTGCATGAAAAGATAAGTCTTAAAAACGGTGAACCCACATATGCTTCGATTATCATACCAAAACTCCTAAATCTAAGTCCGAGAATATTGTGCGGGTTAAAATTCATCTGCCTTCCACAATCGTTTGTCTAGAGTGATAAATTTAAGATTAAACTCAACTCACAAAGAGCGAATGTCATGGAAGATATTTACTAAGATTCTTTATCAAATCATCTCTTGCTAGTAAGGATATGACATGTGCCCACTAGCTGGTGGTTTCGTTATCAAATAACATCATAGGTAAACAGTTGCAATCAGGACCCTCTGACAGGGTGATTTTCTTGCCAAATGGTGCCATTAAATTCTGCCCAAAGCCCATCTATTCCCCAATAGCCTTAAACCATTGAGAAATTAATCAAGGATATACTTGATAATGCAAAAAGGCCTTTGTCAAATAATATTGACTCATATATGTCCTCTAAAACAAACATTTATCCAGAATCTATAAGGTACCATTAGACAACGACCCATAGCTTCCAACAAGTATCCTTCGGTCAGCATGGGTATACTGCCTCCTCTAAGTAGATGTAATACACAAGTTTTAGATAAAAATCAATTTTTTCTTAATTAAAGTATGCCTGAAAGATTAACTTTCATTAAAATTCCCAACAAGTTTATTTTTTCTCAAAGTTTACTTTATAATTCCTTTTAATTACTATTAACTGTTAATTATATTTAATTAATAAATTACATTTCTATTAATTAATAAATTAATGTTAATTATTGTTAACATTTACTTATATTTAATTAGTAATTAAACCCTAGCACAAATTACATTAAGTTAAACTACTATTAAGTAAATACTAATATTTATGTTAATTAGGGTATAATTAAACACTAGCACAACACTAACACACTAATTCATATTTCAATTCCACTCAGTTTCCACTATTAGGGTTATACATATAAGTTTATAATTTATAATATAGTTAATAGTATCTTATTGTAGCAAGCACTAATAGTAATCAATAGTTAAACTCCACTTAGCCATCCACTTCAAGAAGCATGCAACCCTTAATGATGAAATCAAAAACTAGGAAAGTTTTAAGCATCAGTATTTTAGCCTTGTTGTGTAAGCCTCTCCCATTCGAATTCTATTAGCTAGGTTTTGCTTGCGAGATTCTCTGGAGAGAAAGCAGAGCGTGAGGGAGAGAGAGCAGAGTTGAGTAGTTTGATTTTTATTATAATTGTATTATAGATTTTCAAATATTGCTAATGTTCTTAAAGTAGATTATATCTAAATGTAATTTAAAAATTCAATAGGCATATGCGGAGCAGAAGTTACGATGTAAAATTGTTATTTTAGATATAAGTGATTTTATTCAATTGATTGGAAAATTGAATGGTATAAATTATAAGATTGAAGAATTGTGGATTATGTAGGTGATTTACAAGCGAAAAATGGTACAAGGTGTAGAATTAAAAAGACAACTCATTATGGGGAAAGAATGAAATTCTAATATAAAAAGTAAATTTTAGCATTTATGGGCATATGCAGTCAAAATTGATTAAAAATAAAGGATAAAAGTGTTAAAATTACTTAAATTTAGTTGAGTGACTTTACAATCAAATATTCTAGTATGAACTACAAAATATAAATTTTTATAGTTCAAACTTAAATTGAGATATTATATGATTACATAAATATTTTTCTACTTGATAATATTCTTAGCAAGAAAAGGACTGGCTATTTACTACTTTCTCATTCTGCTTATACAAGTATTATATAAATGTCTTTTATATTATGTCATGAAACATAAAATTCCTAGTAAAATATGAGTACAAAAATTTGCAGCTTAATGAATATCATATTAGTTGAGAGTTGACAATGAAATGTTATAGTAACTACACAGGTGGAAAAAATGGATCTCAATGGAGGCATTAGGATCTAAATGTAGTTCAACGACTATAATGCTAGGTTTTACCTGTGCTCGGTTGAACATTATCATGAAACAATAAAAGCCAACTTTATGTTATATATATGGTCAGAACCTGAACTAACTAATTATGATATTATTTGCAGTTTAAAAAAAAGCAAGATGCTTACATATCTAAGTGCAAAGTTTGATGTTACAATCATTAAAAGATTGATATGTCTACCTATTGTAATGTAATATACTTGTTGTAATGCTTCAATATCTAACTGCAAAGTTTTTTTTTTTTTTTTTTATTCGGTGCATTGAACTCTTTTATATCTGAAGTGTTATGTGACAAATTACACTTGGAACATGTTATTTTTACTCTTGGTTTGAATATATTCAATTACATGCTAGGGATTATTTAGGTGCCAGTACTTCATGTTTAGTTAACCTTATGATAGCCTGTAGGGAATTCCGATTAGATTTAATTGTGCTATCTTTAGTGGAGTTTGAAATAATTTTAAGTATTGATCAAATACTTTGCCACTATTAAATGTTGGAAGAAAAGAGTCTGGCTCAATTTTCCTGGAGTTGAGGTATTTTATTTTTAGTGTGAAAAATGAGCAATTTCATCATTGATTTTTTCTATTAAGGTGAAAATAAGTATGAGATATGGCGAATTAATTTTCTTAGCAAAGTTAGAAGCTAGTTAAGGGGCTTGATGATGTAAATTATATTCGTGTGGTGAATGAATTCATAGGTATTTTTCCGAAAGAGTTGGATAATTTGACACCGGGAAGAAAGTAGAATTTATAATAAATATTCAACCAGGAACAACCCAATTGTAAAAACCTCTAACATAATAACAATCAAAGAGTTACAAGAATTAAAAAGCCAATTATCAATACTGATATAAAAGGGCTTTATTAGACCCAGTACATCTACTTGGAGTGTACTTGTGTTATTTGTTAAGAAGAATGATGATTCGATGTGACTCTATATTGATTACATGGAGTTAAATAAGATGACCATTGAAAACATGTACTCTCTTCCAAGTTTTGATGATTTATTTAATCAGTTAGCAGGTTCTTTTGTATTTTTTACAATTGATTTGATATTTAGTTACCATCAAGGTAGAGTGACAGAATATGATATTGAAAAGACAACTTTTGGTATTAGATATGGGCATTATGAATTTTTCGTTATGCCATTTGGACTGACAAATGCCACAACTATATTTATAGATATAATGAATAAATTTTCAAGCCTTATCTTAATCAATTTGTAATTATTTTTTTTACGATACGTTGTTTTTCACTAAGAATGATGAAGAGCATATAAATCATTTGAGAATAGTCTCTTTCCCTATCAACCCCCTCTCTTTCTCTCTATTTCTTTTAATCTCTCCTCTCATCATATTCTTCTTTCTCCATCTCTTTCTTTCTCTAAGAAGAAAGAGATCTCTCTCCACCTCAACTTGTCTTTCTCTGCCTCAATCTCTAAACAGAGAGATTAAAACCCGTAATCTCAGTACCCCATCTCTCTAATATATTCCCACAAACAAAAATCATACAGAAAATTCGCAAATCAATAAAAAAATATAATAGTACCAAGTCTTTTAGACACAAGTTTTTACAAGATATCCAAACTATTTTTCATTGAATCAATCAGGAAATAAATAGCGCAAGAAATGCTGAAAAAAAAAAGAAGATAAATTTACATAAAAATATACTAAACTTTCTTAGAAAATTCGTCCATAGTCTATAAATAGTTTTTTTATCGGCATAAAAAATGGGATATCTTAATTCTATCTAGGTATTGAGTTTTTCTACAGAAAATAAATGGTGTTTCATTTTTCCCGAAGGAAATGCCTTAGGCCTATTTTAATAAACTGGCTTCTCAAATGATACTAACGCTAATAGGTATTTTACAGACTTCTATTGATAAAGAATGCTTCCAAGATACTTCTTATTATCATCTTTGTAAAATTATCTATAGAATTATCGCTACCTAGTTTTTCTGTTTTTCTGTTGCTTGTATGAGAAGTCAACATATGTATAAGCAAGCAAAACACTATGATGTTTCTCTTAAGGATCTAAAGATATATTAAAAGTATATAGAAAATGATTGGTTTATCAAAAAAACAGACATTTAAAAATCAAACCTCCTCTTATGCTGTCTTGATTATCTTTCAAGATAAAATATCTACTTCAGAATATTAGTTATTGTGGAGAAAAATATTGTAAGAAATTATATTATTATTATTAGAAACAAGTGTGGAAGTTGAATATAGGGTAATGCTCATTTTGCCTATCACATAATGTGGATAAAAAATCTCATTGAAGAATTTGGGTTTTACATTGCTCAACCCATGCTTCTTAAATGAGCCAACAAGCAATTTATATTATTAGAAACCTAAATTTTTTTATGAAATAACAAAACATAATAAAATTGAATGTTAACTCATTCAAGATGCAGCTCTATTCAAGAAAACTATCATTATCATGTGTCCACTAAATTTTAGCTAATTAATTTTTACAAGCTATAGGATCACTTTGTTCTTTTAATCTTTGCGGTAAATTGGATCTTTATAATTTCTATGCTTCAGCTAGAGGGAGAGTGTTATCATAGGGGTTAACATATTGGAACTTAATAATTATAAAAAATTTAATCATTATTCTATAATATATTATCCTAATTGGTATAACCTCTCTAGTATTTATTTCATACTCTAGTTTTATACTATAAATAGACATCAAAACACCTCTCTACAACTAGAAAAGCATTATCCTCAGTTCTAATAAAGCCGTTTTTGAAATAGAATGCGCAATTGTTATTTAAGTGCAAAAAAGCACGTGCCCTAGGCAAGATAGCATTGAGTCCATGATGCTGTTCAAGGAAGTCCGATGGTTGAATGCTGCTGGTTTACTGAACTTAAGTATTTATTTAAACAAACAAATAATAATAAAAGACAGATATAACTACTGTTTCATGGTTCCAACAAACATTTGAATCTTATAGAAGGCATACCTGGTAAGTCCAGGGAAAACTAGATAGGTCAATTTCCCCATCTTTAAACCCAGTCAGCATTATTGGACCCCTGAATCCGGCTCCATCCTTTTCTATGAAAGCGCCATAGTTCTGCAATTAAAAGAAAAGAAAAATTTGAAGTCGCAATTATAGAAAGAGAGTTATAACAGAAACCAGCTGCATCGGTAATAGAACTTGTAATTAATCTAACTAAACACAAACCTATATTGAACCAATCACAGAAAAAGAAGGGAACGAGAAAGAGAAAAGAAATGCAAGAAGGAAAAAGTTACTTGAAAAATAAGCTTCATGCTAGTATGAGGAGATAACCTCTAAAAATTCTTCAAACCTCACACTTGATTAAATGATAAAATTCCCAAAATATTTGGGGAATAAGTGTCTCCAGATCAATAATACAAATTTGTCTAAGCCATAAACTATGTTAAATGACTAAGAATTCTAAAAATTATAGATGATAAAAATAAAAACATGCAAACAAATTACCAATAAAGTACTAACAAAACATTAATAATTACTAATGAACTGCTAACACATTACTAAGAAACATAATGGCACAGAAAAGAAAATTTTTTATAAAAGAATGAAAGTATATAAAATAAATAAAATATACTTGAAAAAATCAATTTTAAAATAATGCCCATAGAGTAGGAGGGCAGTATGAATAGGATTCTACGAGATAGAAAACTTTTATCTTGCTCAACAAATGTAAAAAATTACAAATTCCAACCAATCGCAATCTTCAAAGAGTGCAAACAATGCATGGGGCTCCCAGTCCAGAGTAAACAAAAATTGATTTGCATTTTACTCCAATCTCAAAATGGTGCAGGAAATATGATTATACAACAACAACAACAACATCAAGCCTTTATCCCACTACGTGGGGTCGGCTACATGAATCCTTTTTCTCCATTGTGTCCTATTAAAAGTCAAATTCTCATTTAAATCTAATAAAGAAAGGTCATTCCTAATATTTTCTAACCAAGTCTTTTTAGGTCTACCCCTACCTTTCTTAACATAAGTAAAATCTAATACCTCTACTCTCCTAACCGGGTCATCGCAAGGCCGCCGTTTTATGTGACCAAACCATCTAAGGCGACTTTCTCTAATCTTATCTTCTACTGGAGCTACTCCAACCTTTTCACGTATATGCTCATTTCGTATCCTATCTCTAAGGGTAAAGCCACTCATCCACCTAAGCATCCTCATCTCTGCCACACTATTATAAAAAATAAAAATAACTATTATAACTATTTTGGGCCATTTTGTCCAGAGATCAACCATGTTCATCTCTCTATTAGAAGTTGCTCGACATTACTTTAATTGCAAAATATAGAGATGAAAAAGGGTGGCATAGAGGAATAAACAGACTGTTTACTCTTCTTTTTTTTTTCCCTGTTATTCAGCATTTAGAATGGTTAAGTTAGCACAAATCCAACAGGAAAGGAAATTTATATTATATTACCTGATATGAAATTACAAGAATATCTTCCTACGGAAATATATTTTAAATTTCATTAAAGCTCTAACTCTTCTCTCTAGAATATTTTAGTTTTGCTACTACCAGTTGCTATAAAATACCATCGTTTAAAGGTGTATGAACTAAAAAAAATGTAATTCAGCAAGTGAACAACAGGCTGCCTGAATACAGATCGCGTTGCAAATATACCAGCCCAAATGGAAAATTCACACTCAGCCTAATAAATTAGAATCTTTTAAAATCATGTCACCTTACCTTCAAGCCGACAGTCTCAGACAATAATGCCAATTCATTGTATCCCTGAACCAGTTGAAGGGTTTGCTCCAGCTTAACCCAGTTCCCATATGTACCACCTTCATTTCCAAGCAAAGTCATTAATGCATGGAAAGCTAAATCCTTGTTATTCTACAAGTCACAAAGAAAAAAGAGACAAAGAAATAAACTCAAAATATAGTCTCTGCACCATTGCAATTGAAAAACTTGCACTTGAGGCATGTTTAGCTGCCTGTAACAGAAGGCCAGAGATGAAAATGAAAGAAATAAAAATACGGCTGATTTTCTGGTAGGGTCGGACGTGGTAAAATAGATTTGATTAGAATTGTGATATAAGAGATTCTTTTTGCTTCCAACTTCATACCAAATTTTCTAAAGTCTCACAAAAGTGGATGATGCAGGACTACAATGCTTAGATGATATTTGATTTAAGATTTTTGCACGCTTAAATTTTAGAGAACAATAGTAAATAAACTTATATTGATTTTAAAAGATGAGACAAAACAATAAGGCGATAAAATAAGTTTAGGCCAAATCACATGCGTAGAGGTTAAGATCCTAAAATAGTAAATTACTCGAATGTTGCATAAATGGAAGGTTTTCATCAAAAATCCCTATGCTAACAATAAGACTAATAACTATGCAAGGATCCCTCAGTCAACTCTCTATATCACTAAGTTTTAGCGGAGGAGAATAAACATGATCTTTGTGAATCAAAATATAACTACAATTGAAAATAAACTAGGAAGATAGGAAACTTGAGGAAGAGTTCACCATCGTCAAGTTCTTAGGTTTGGTTTGAGGTGCGCGGAGGAAGCTCCGAAGTGTGGCGGCTGATCTTGACGAAGTTCTGTGGGTGGACAGCCAGTTCGGGTCTTCTGGGCAGCAAATGGAAGTCTCCCGGATGGCGAAACAGCACTAGAAGCCTGCTGGATTTTCTGGACAGCAGATGGAAACCTTCAGGACAGCAAATAGGAAGTTTCTGGGAGCAGGACAGCTGCTTGTCTTGCCAAAATTTCCTGGACAGCAACCAAACAGCGTCCAGAAAAATCTGGACTGCAGTCTTTCCAAGTTGGAGGGGTCTTGGGCAGCAAGAAAGGTCTCTCGGAGATGCGGGAAAGCAAGGTTAACTTGCTGTAATTCTTGGACAGCGGTCAGAGAATTCCCAAGAATCGAATATTTGAGGAAGAGGCTTTGGGAAGAGGTGGCTAGGGCTGCCAATGGTTCTACTCAATGTTTAAAATTGCGTATTAGGGTATTGAGGCGTTTTTCATTCGTGAGGCGAGGCGTAAGCCTCAAGGCGTTTTGAGGCGTAAGCCTCAAAATCAAAAGATAGCGTAAACATAAAATGATAAATTTTTTATATGCTAATGAGTGAATAATATAAAACATAAAAAAGCATAAGATATGAAGTGAAATCAAAATATCCCAATAATAAGACAACATGAAATATAGTTCAACTCAAAATTCTATCTTTCCCAAATCCCAATATACTTTTCATTAACATATAATTCAAATTTCCAAAAATAAATAGCAATGACATATCACATAATAACTCAAAAGTCATCAGCACTGTCATCACTAAGGGGTTCTTCATTTGAATCATCATTATGATGAATTGCTCTCTCCCCTTCCTCCTCTCCTATAGAGTCCAATGTCGGACATTTACTTCAAGATTTATGTGAGTTTTAATATATATAGCGTGAGGCGAGGCAGGTCTCAACCAAGTTGAGGCGCAAGCCTCGTAAAAAAACTCGAGGCATAAGCATCGAGGCATTTTTTACTGGAATTGTGCAAAGGCAGGCCTCAAGGCGAGCCTTATATTGCGCAATTTTAAACCATAGTTCTACTAAATCTGAAATTAAATTTCAGAATTAATTGAGAGAGAACTGTGGTTTGAAAATTGAATTCAAAGTAATGGCCGGGAGAAGAATACTTCTAAGTGAGAGATTTGATTGAGGTGGGTAAAGGTCGGGGAATTAATGTGGGGAAAGAGAGAAAGAGGAGAGAGGGGGCGGCGGCATGGTGATGAGGGGGGAAAGGGTTTAAAAAAGAATTAAAGCTTGCCTATTCAAGAGTTTTAAATTGAGGAATGAATATTTAAATCAAATCTTATTTGAATTTGGAATAAGTTTGATTTGAATACTTTCCTAAATTAATATATCTAATTTAGGAAATGATTTGAAATTTCAATTCATTTGAATTTAAATTCAAAAGCTTCCTAAATTACAACAAACCCCAAATAGGAAAGAAGTAATTAAGATGAGAGGGTCAGGAGAAGTGGCGGTTTGGTGGAGGTGTTTATTGTGGCCGGCGGCTAGGATAAGGGGATTAGGGTTGGGGTGGGTTTTAAGACTTGCTAAATCAAGCCCTTGTAGAGAAGGAAAGGAATTTTAATCAATTTCAATTTGAAATTGAAATTGATTTGGGCTTGGATTTAGGAGACTTTCCTAAAATAAGATTCTATTTTAGGAAATAATTCAAATTTCAAATTAATTGAATATTTGAATTTTAAGGCTTTCCCAAATGGATTGGGAGGAGAAAAGGAAAGTAGTAAAGAGGGGCTTTGAATGTGGGAGGCAAGGAGAAAGGGCCTATGGCCGGCGGTGGGGAGGTTTGGGTTTGGAGATGTGGTGATATGGCTGGGGGGGTAGCCAAGTAGGCGAGGTGGTGGGGTATGGGGGTTGACTGGGAGTTAGGGAGGTGGAGCAAAGTTGGCCGACAGTTTGGATGGGTGGGGAGGTGGTTCGACCGGGAGAGAAGGGGGGCTTCTTGGTCAGTGGTGGAGGGGAAGAAAGGGAGGAAGAAGAAAAGATAGAGAAGAAAATAGTCACGAACCCAGACTCTTCCAAAGTTGGTGGGTCATCCGTTTACCCTCTCCTAGGGATTTCTCTCCAAAGCTCTCAAGCTCTCACACAAACACAAGAATGCATGAATTTTCATGATCATCATTCATTAACTTCAAAAGAAATACAAGGGGCATATATATAACCACTTACAATGGAAGGGAACGAAAGACAATATTGCTCCTAAGGCTTACATACGACAAAACCCTTAAGGGTAAAGTAGGAAATACTAATAAAACAAATACATATAATAAATAAATAACACAAATACTGAAATACATATGATGACTCAAAACATATTGGCACGATCATGGCCGTAGATCGTCGGCCATGTCTCTGAAAGACTTTTCATAATTTGATGTCCGCATCAACCATTACAACAACAATAACATCATACATTTATCCCACTATATGAGGTCAGCTACATGAATCATTTTTCCCCATTATGCCATACTAAGAATCAAATTATCATCTAAATCTAATCAAGAAAGGTCATTCCTAATATTTCAAACCAAGTCTTTTTAGGTATACCTATAACTTTCTTAACATAAGTCAAATTTAAAATATCTACTTTCCTAACTGGGTCATTAGAAGGCCACCATTTTATGTGACCAAACCATCTAAGGAGAATCTATCTAATCTTATCTTCCACTGGAGCTACTCCAACATTTTCACGTAAATACTCATTTTGTATCCTATCTCTAAGAGTAAAGCAATTCATCCACTTGACCATCCTCATCTTTGCAACACTTAACTTAATATTATGCTTCCCTTTTAATTGCCAACATTCTGCACCATAAAGCATTGCAGGGCTCACCACCATCTTATAAAATGTTCCCTTAAGTTTAAAAGGACTTTTCAATCATACAACAAGCCTGATGCATTCCTCCACTTCAACAATCCAACTTGAATTCTACTAATAATATTCCCCATCTATTTCACCATCACTATGAACAATAGACCCAAGATATCAAAAATTTGTACTCTTATTAATGACTTGATCGCCCAAAGTCACAATCTCCTCACTAGGCCAATTACTACTAAAATTACATTCCATATATTCAATTTTAGATCTACTCAAGAAAAAAACCTTTAGACTCTAAGGTTAACATCCATAATTCAAGTTTACCTTTAATTCCCTCTCTAGTCTTATCAACAAGAAGAATATCATCAACAAAAAACATACACCAAGGTACATCCTCTTGCAAATGTCTAGTGAGAACATCCATGACTAAAGAAAAAAGATATGGGCTTCAAACTGATCCTTGATGTAATCCAACTGAAATAGGAAAATACTTGGTCAAACCACTTTGTGTTTGAACACAAGTAACAACTCCTACATCCATATCCTTAATGACACGAATATAAGCATTATTAACCCCTTTCTTTTTTAGAACTCTACATAGCACTTCTCTTAAAACTTTCTCATATGCTTTCTCAAAATCAATAAATATTATACGTAGATCCTCCTTATTCTCTCTATACTTCTCCATTAAACCTCTCAATAAAAGTATAGCTTCGATAGTAGACCCACCTTTTTATTTGTTTTATTTATTTATTTTTTATTTATTTTTTTATTTTTATTTTTTTCCATAGTAGACCTACCTTGCTTGAATCCAAATTGATTTTGAGAAACATTAGTATCATGCCACAACCTATGCTTCATAACTCTCTCACATAGTTTTAAAGTATGATAATTAACCTAATTCCTATATAATTCACACAATCTTGTTCATCACCTTTTATTCTTAAAAATATGAATCAACACTCTCATTCTCCATTTATTTGACATCTTTTTAGTTTTCAAAATAATATTGAAAAGTTTAGTAAGCCAAGAAATTCCTTCATCTCCTAAGCATTTTAACATCTCTATTGGAATATCAGCAAGTTCAACTACTTTTCCACACTTCATTTTCTTTAAAACCTCTCTAACTTTGGTTTTACAAATACGCTGATAAAAACAAAAATCTTTATTTTCATTTAAGGTGATAAGGTCACTAAAGTCAATCAAATTCTCACAATCTTCATTGAAAAATTTAGCAAAATATCTCATCCACCTTTGTTGAATATGATCTTATAATAAAATCACTTTTTGATCTTTATCCTTAATACACTTAAACTAAATCCATACTATTATTTCTCTGTTTGGTTAATTTATACATATATCTTTTGCTTTCTTTAATATTAATCTATTATATAAATTATTAAAGGCTAAAATCTTTGCATTGCATATT